GGAGGAGGCGGAGGAGGAGGAGGAGGAGGAGGAGGAGGAGGGGGCGATGACGTTGAGGAGGGTGAGGAGGAATAGGAGGATGAGGAGGTGGAGGAGGAGAAGGGTCGTCGAGGAGGAGAAGGATCAGGAAGAGGATGAGGATGAGGATGAGGATGAGGATGAGGAGGAGGAGGAGGAGGAGGAGGAGGAGCAGGAGTATGAGGAGTATGAGGAGGAAGGGGATGCCAGGGCAGGTCGCATCAGGTCAGGCAGTCCTCGGGAGCACCTCGATGGGCATTCAGTAGGGGAAGGGGGTACAGCCAAGTTAGCTCCAGCCCGGGATTCTGAGATGGTAATGATGGTGTTGCTTCTGATGGCGATGATGATTATTGTGGTGATGCTGATGGTGATGGCGATGCTGCTGCTTCTGATGATTGATGATGATGATGATGATGATGATGATGATGATGATGATGATGATGATGATGATGATGATGATGATGATGATGATGATGATGATGATGATGATGATGATGATGATGATGATGATGATGATGATGATGATGATGCTGCTGATGCTGATGATGATGATGATGATGATGATGATGATGATGATGCTGATGCCGATGCCGATGCCGATGCTGATGATGCTGATGAGGATGATGATGTCGATGTTGATGCTGATGCTGAAGATGATAATGACGATGAATATAAGGATGATACTGATGATGCTGATGATGGTGATGATGACGGCGTTGGTGTTGATGGTGATGCTGATAATTATGACGATTCTGCTACTGCTGCTGCTGCTGTTGTTGTTGGTGTTGTTGTTGCTGTGGTTGTTGTTGTTCTTGATGATGACGATGCTGCGGTTGATGATGCTGCTGATGATGATGCGTTAGTGGTAGTGATGGTGGTTGTGGCGAATGGTGGTGGTGATGATGATGGTGGTGTTGATGGTGATGCTGGTAATGACGACGATGCTGCTGCTGTTGTTGTAGTTGTTCTTGTCCGTGATGATGACGATGCTGTGGTTGATGAGGATGCTGATGATGCTGATGATTATGCTGATGATAGCGGGGGTGGTTGTGGTGGTGGTGGTTATGGTGATGATGATGCTGATGATGATGGTGATATTGAGGAGGAGGAGGAGGAGGAGGAGGAGGAGGAGGAGGAGGAGGGGGAGGAGGATGATGGCCAGTGTCAACTTAGTACGCACCAACGATGTTGCAATGCATCTTCTTCCCACGTTTTCTACTCATAGGTTTCTAGATTTCATTACGGGATGTGCCCCATTGAAGACAATCGTCTGATAATCCCAGTTGTGAAACCACCATTCCTGGGACTTCAACGCCGCGGCGCATCGTGATTGATGCGTCCGGACAACCCAAATCGTGCCAGAACGCCACTCCTGCGAATTTAAACACCACGCATTCACGTGACTGTTGTGTTGTGGCAGTCCTACATCGTGCCGGAACAGCATTCCCGGGTCTTGAGTCATACGAATCTTTGTCGCACTCTTTTACAAACGAGAGTGCGTGATGCTCAGGCGAGAGCCACATGTTGAAAATGGGCCGTCTTCCATCAGTGAACTTGTTGCGAACTTTACGACGGAGGTTCGCGGCGCTGAGGCGGTAACCAGATTTGAAAAACCACCCGCCCTCCATCCTGTAACTTGTTATAAACGTTGATGGCGAATGTGCTGGGCGCTCAGGCGAGAGCATCATTTTGAACAGTACCCGCCCTGCACCAGTGAGACTGTTGCGAACTTGTCAGACGAGTGTGCGCGGCGCTAGGGCGCGAGCTTCATTTTGTAAACGGTAGCCCTCCATCCGTAAAACTGTGGCACTGGGTGCGACAGGGGTGAGTTATCTCGACAGGGATGAGTTATGTATCAGGAAAAGGGGTGGAGGAGGAGGAGGAGGAAGAGAAGAGGGACCGAGGAGGAGGAGGAGGAAGAGGAGGAGGAGGAGGAGGAGGAGGAGGAGGAGGAGGAGGAGGAGGAGGGGAACCAGTGTAAACTCAAGGCGCTTCAACAATGTTGCAACAAACGCTTCCTCCAAGTTTTCTCTGTATAGATACTTGATCTGTTTTTAAGTTGCATGGCGGGAAGTGGCAGTTTTTAGGACAATCGTAGGATAATCCCGAATCGTGCCAAAGAAAAGTCCCTGCGACTTCAGCGCCTCGGGTGAACGTAGCTGTTTCGTCCTGACATTCCTAAATCGTGCCGGAAAGCCGCTCTTGGGACTTCAACATTGCGTGGCTGCTGCGCCGTGGCAATCACAAGTCGTGTCGTAATACACTTAGTGGGTTTTCGGCCATACGAATCCACAACATTGTTGCACACTTTTAAGGCGAATGGGCGCGGCGCTAGGGTAGAGGCATATTTTGAACACGACCCGCTTTCCATGTGTGAAGCTGTCGCAAACTTGTAGGACGAATGTGCGCGGCACTCAAGCGAGAGCCACATTTAGAAAACGACACGCCTTCCATCGGTGCAACTGTTGCAAACTTTTACGGCGAGGCTTCGGAGGGCCCGTGCATCGAACTCTAGCCGACGGCGCCTTCGGGGTCAGACCTCACCGTGGCGCGGCGATGTGGCCGATGGCGCTCGGGACGCATACGGGATGCTTCCAGGCGGCCCGCCTCCGCGTCTGCGCTAAGCCAGTAGCCGTCCTCGCCCACGACGGCACGGTCACGATCGAGGCAGGCACGAGCCCAGCCGCCCTGAGCACTGCCTGGAAAGAGCTTGACGGGCAGGCTCACGAACAACAGGCTTCTCCTCTTCTCCTCCACCTCGTCCTCCTCCTCTTTCTCCTCCTCCTCCGCCTCCTCCTCTTTCTCACCTTCGGGACTGCAGCCGTCGTGCTGCCGAAAGGAACACCGACCGAGAAACGAAGGGGGACTTCTCTGGCCGCGGCTGGCCTCGGGCATGCATCGGCTCCCCGACCTGGACCCGAGAAACAGCCAAAAGACCAGGGCCCCTCCTGATCCCAAATAGTCGCAGGCCTAGAGATTGACACCAACACCAATATCGGCGGTGTGCCTCCACCGAAGGAAGAAGATCCCGATCTCAGTGATGGTGGTAATATTCTGTCTTCCAAGGTGGCCGAAATATTACCACCAACACCGAAATCTAGGATTTTCTTCCCCCTGTGGAGGCAAAGCCCTGTGTTGGTGTTGGTGCCCATTTCCAGGCCTCCAAAAAAGGTATTTATTTCATCGCCTTGACGGGAAAGTCCGCTACCATTGCAGGCGCCTGAGTGTGAGGCTTGCCCAGCGCTGGGCACACGTTCCTGGCAGCGCGTGGCCATCAGACGGGAACTTGCCGATGCCGTTGCCGAAGCTTAGCCCCGTGTCGACGGCCACCATGTGCTCGAGCAGGTCTCCAACGTGTGTTTGAGAGTCTGAAGGGGCAGCTAGTGGCCAAGAGAACCAACCTGTCCTTCACGAATAAATCGTGTCACGTATCACCCACATAACTCATCCCTGTCGCACCATCAGACTTGTCGTCAGGGCGGGCCCGTCGTGTCGACTGATTCCATAATGTATGATCGCGAAGTGGGTAGCTTACAATAGTTACACTGGCGGGCGGGGCACTGGTCCTGCGCAAAATGGCGGGTTCTCGCCTTGGCGGCGCCTTGAACAATTGCGACTGTTACGCGCAAGGAGGGCGGGACGTTTACAAAATGAGTCTCTCGCCATGGCGCCGTGCACATTCGTCTTACAAGCTTGCTTAAGCTACACAGATGGAGGGCGGCTCGTTTCCAATGGGGTTCCCGCTTGAGATTGTTACACGGCTGGAGTCCGGAGGGTACCTCCTTTGTGAAATGGTGTTTTGCTTGAGAAATCCTAGAGTTGTATGGCGGGCGGTAATTTTGACTGTGCAACTCTTACACCGATGGAGGTAGGCCCTTTTCAAACGGAACTATCGCTGGAAGGCTTCCTGATTTTTTTGGCCTATCCTTTTCCATTTCTTGTCGCTGGAAGGATGGAAGGTGAGTTTTTTGTCAAGCGGTGTCTCGCCTGAATGGCAGGCGTACGGCGCGTTCGTCAGTCAACGCTTCCCAGGCTTGAGTGTAACACCTAAATAGGCGACTTGTGTCGGGAGAGTGTATTGTAGCATGGCTGATGCACCTTGGGCTTCCTACCCTCCTCCTCCTCCTCCTCCTCCTCCTCCTCCTCCTCCTCCTCCTCCTCCTCCTCCTCCTCTCCCCCTTCTCCTCTCCGCCTCCCTCCTCCTCCTCGGCCATCCTTCTCGTCCCCCCTCCCCCTCCCTTCTCTTCCTCGCCTCCCTCCTAACCTCTTACTCCCTGCACCCGGTCGCCGTTGCACCCGCAGTCTGGACGTGATCGCTCCTCCCCCTCTCGGCCTGCTCCCCCCCCCCTCCCCCCCCTCCCGCTTGTCCTCGTCCTTGTCCTCGCTCCCGCCCTCGCTTATCCTGCTCGCTCCTCGTCCTGGCTCCTCGCTCCTCCTCGCTCCAGCGCGCATTTTCATCTGGGTCTGTCCTTCTCCTCGCTCCTCCCTCGCTCCTCCTCCTCCTCCTCCTCCTCCTCCTCCTCGCTTCTCCTCCTTCTCTCTCCTCCTCGCTCCTCGCTCCTCGCTCCCCTTCGCTCCTCCTCGTCGTGGATCTTCACCATGTTGACGATGGCTGCAGTGATGGAGACAACTTCGACGACGGCGGTCTTGGCTGCGATGGCATCGCCATCAACGACGCCACGCTGTCGGTGGTGCGGTGAGCACCGACCGTGGCGATTGGAGCGAGGTGGGCGCATCTGTGCACTCGAAGACGCGTGCCGATCGCTTTGTGACGGGGGTGGGCTGCACGACCTGCCGACGCGGGTGTGTGTGTGTGTGTGTGGTGCGGGGGCATTGCAGCGAGGACATGATGGCAATGGGGACGGCGCTCGGCGACCGCGGCGACGGCGGCCGCGACGACGACGGCGACCGCGGTGACAGTCAGGGCGCGATTGGACGAGTCTGCTCACCGTTGTCGAGCGCGGTGTGGGTGCCGCTGCCAGGGTTCCAGCCCGACATCGCGTGCTACAACTCCTTGATTCACGCATGCAGTTCCCAGTGCCCTCCACGCCGGCGCTCGCGCCTGGGGAGCCAGGCGAAGGCGATTCCGCATACCAGGCCAGAGTTCGGCTGCGTGTAGTAGATTTTGTTGCGGCAAGTTCGGCGTTCATGGCATCTTGTGTGGCTAAGAGGATGGCGGCGTTGAGGGCGGCGGCGACGTCGAAACCCTGCGGCAGCGTTCTCAATGGCATGATGGTACCATTGACCAGTGCGTGGTACAGAAGGTGGATGCACGACTGGAGGGAGGTGGAGGGAGGCGTGTGTGTGTGTGTGTGTGTGTGCGTGTATGTGTGTGTGTGTGTGTGTACGAGCGAGAGAGAGAGAGAGAGAGAGAGAGAGCCCGCGCACCCAAGGTCACCCGGCTGCCCGCCTGAGTGACCTTCGGTGCGCGGCTTTCGGGGGCCTCGGGTGGCCGAACCCGAGCACGCAGGCCGCCACTGTCGCGCCGCATGCAACGGTCGGCGAGCTGCGCGCCCAAAGCCGCGCTCGCCCAGGGTCGCTCCTGTGCGCAGCCGAGGGGCTGCCTTCTGCAGTGCCGCCACCTGGCGCCGCACATGGCATTGGTCGAGCCTGCTCGGACTGCCACCCAGCTCACGCCCCCTGCTGAACATCTCCCTGGACGCACCTCGACGCGCCTCTCTCAGGAGGGGAGGAAACACACAGACACAATTAATCGTCGAGCCCCAGGAAAACATGGGAAAATATGGGAAGTGGGGGGGAAGACAAAAACACAGAACATATGTGGACATATGGGAATCTTTTTATTTGTGTGTATTTATTTGTGTGTTTGTGGGCCCCTTCACTCTCTTGCTCCTTTCCGTCGGAGCCTGGGCCGCTGCACGCTCGCCGCAGGGCCTGCACGGCCTGAGGTGGCCGCTTCCCTCTCCCCTCCGTCCGCGGCCGCCCCCCTCTCCGCCCGCTCTGCCTCGTGCCGTGCAACAATCTGCCGCACATGGGCCCTGTGCCTGCCCGACCTCTCTGCGCGAGCGCCGGGTCCGCGACAGAAAAGCTCATGGCCGACGGGGGTGGCGCTGAGACCCTGCGGCTTTTGGGGGGACGTGGTGGAGGGCGGAGGCCGAGAGGTCAACGCAGTTGGCGGCCCCTCGCGTGGAGGTGAGGAGGAGGAGGGAGGAGGAGGAGGAGGAGGTGATGAGGAGGAGGGAGGGGAGGGAGGGAGGAGGGAGGAGGGGAGGAGGAGAAGGAGGGAGAGAGGAGGAGGAAGGAGGAGGAGGAGGAGGAGGAGGGAGGGAGGAGGAGGAGGAGAGGAGGCGAGGAGGAGGAGGAGGAGGAGGCGGAGGGGAGGAGGAGGGAGGAGGAGGAGGAGGGAGGAGGAGGAGGGAGATGACGGGCCCAGGGCGTTGGTCTGTCTGGCCTCCAGGGGGTGCAGTGCAGGCTCGTCCCCCTAGGCGCACAGGGCGGCCCTGTGGCTCTGCGAGGCGGGGGCTCGGCACCGTGCTTGCTGGTGGTTCCTGTTGCCTGTTGTTCCTGTTACCACTCGCCGCCTTTTGACCTCTAGGGGGCCCTTTTTGCCATTGCGCTAAAACGCATCATAATCACACTTCTGGTCGAGCTCCTGCTGTAGCCGAAAGCAAGCCTCCCGTCGTATTTTTTTTGTTCGCGGCGCGATGGGGGCCTGGGCACCCCGCGAGGGTGTGCCCTTCCGTGAAGCTCCCCCCAAGGAGGAAGAAGAGGGGGCTGAGAAGGGGGAGCAGGAGGAGGAGGAGGTAGTGCATGAGGAACAGCAGCAGCAGGAGGGGGAAGAAGAGAAGGAGGAGGATGAGGAGGAGGAGGAGGAGGAGGAGGAGGAGGAGGAGGATGAGGAGGAGGAGGAGGAGGAGGAGGAACATGAGGAGGAGGAGGAGAACGGGGAACCCCATGCGTTCTCAGGAGACCCACTCTCGCGCCACCCCACCCCTCGGCGCGCGCCGCCGAGCGCAGGTCCCGCGCGGCGGCTCTCTACGCGGCCCAAAATTTGTACACCACTGCCACCTCCCTGATCCCACCCAGGAAAGAGGAGGGAGGACCCAAAATTATACACCACCACCACCTCCCTAACCCCACCCAAACTTATACACCACTGCCAGGAGAGAGGGTGGGGAGGAGGAGGAGGGGCCGGGCGGAGGAGGGATGCGGGACTGGAGGTGGTGGTGCTGGTGTATTCTCTTGGGGCCCGCCCTCTGCTCCGACGTTGCCGTTTTTCTCGCGACGCGGGCGCCCACAAACCTCCACCATTTTCGGCGGCGCGCCAGGGGCGAAAGTGCGAGGGGGCGCGGCTTCTCAGAAGGTTCGGAAGTTCTCCAACCTTCTGAGCAGTTTTTCCTACGCCTTCCTCGAAGACGCAGAAACCTTCTCAGAAGAGGGCTTCTGAGAAGCCCCGTCGCCTTTTGAGAGGGCCTCCTTTTTCTCACTTCTCCCCCGGGCGCGCCGCCGACATTTCTCTAAGGCGCGGGCTTCTCGTCCTCAGTCGGTTTTTAACGGTTCCCGAGCTGGGACACGTCTTCCAGAGGCCGAAGACGACGAGCCACAATGCCGCCGCGACTGATTTTTTGCGACGCTCAGTTCGAAGAGAGGAGCGCAGGGAGGGTCTAGGCATCTTCGATGGGGTCGGGTTAGAGGGGATCGGAGGACCGCGCTGCATCGCCGTCTGCATCGGCGATGCACCGTCGACGCGGCTCGATGTGGGGCCCAACTGTCTCCACGCCGACGTTGCGGATGCATCGCCGACGTCGCGGATGTGCGGCGAGATCCTCCGACCCCATCTATTCGGACCCCATCGAAGGAGGAGGAGGAGGAGGAGGAGGAGGAGGAGGAGGCCTCTGGGAGGGGGCAGTCGTGGGCAGCAGGCTCCTGCAGCAGGTCCACGTCGGGGCTCGGCGGGTGCGCCGGGCTGCTCGGGCCCTGCCCCGGCCGAGCGCGTGCGCGCGGAGGTATGACGTGGACCTGGCGGAGCGCTGGTTTCAGGAGGGGCTGCGGCAGGCAGGTGTCCAGAGTCGGCGGCGAGCGAGGGGGAGAAAAGGAGAAGGAGAGGGCCTCCTCAGAAGGCGGCGGGACGCCTCAGAAGTCCTCGCGCCTTCGGAGACGTCTTCCGTGCCTTCGGGGAAGCCCTTCTCCTTCTCGCTTCCCCCCCCGGGATCGCCGCCGAGAGAGGTTGCGGCAGGCGGGCGCCCAGAAGGCATACGGCACGAGTCGAAGGAGAGGAACTCGCGCAAACATAAACAATCGGAGGTCCGTGGAGATTTCTCGGACCGACGCCGGACTCTCCCAGCGGCGCCTCGGGCGCCGCCCCCTGCGCGCTCCGCGCGCCGTGAGGGGGCTCCTGCGCGGGGCTCCTGCGCCGATCCACGGTATCAGCGCGGACCTCAGGAAGTGTCTGGTGATTATGTTTTTCCCCATATGCTAAGATGGGCTTCTTGTTATTCCCCATATCCAAGCGATGGGGTTCTTCTTGCTACTCCGACCGCGCCGACTCCTTTCATTCACACCTCCCCCCTCCTCCTCCTCCTCCTCCTCATCCTCCTCCTCCTGTATGTTATATTATGCTGTGTGGTGTTACGGTATGCTGTATTATGGCATGTTAGGTTACGCCAGACTAGAATATGACATGCAATGCTATGCTATGCTATGCTATGTTATGTTATGATAAGTCATGCTATGACACGCTATGGTGTTATGCTATGCGATACTGTGTTATTATATGCCATGCTGTGCCATTAATGCTATGCCATATTATGCTATTATATGTTGTGCTATGTTGTGCTATGCATATATTAGATGGTGCTATAGTATGTTATGTTTTGTTGATGATGATGGTGATGATGCTGATGGTGGTGGTGATGCTGATGATGATGATGGCGGAGCAAAGTCCGAGGATGTCTCGAGGGAGGCGCGGGTTTGAGCACCCCCAAGAGGGAGCCGCCAGGGGATGTCGCTCGCCTCCGTTCGCGCCAAGATGGCGGGGGTGTCTCGGGCGGTTTGTCTGTTTGCCAGGGCAGCACCCTTCGCTTTCGGAGCAGATTTCGAGGATGTCTCGAGCGAGGCGCTCCCAAGGGGGAGCCGCCAGGGGTTATCTCACTCTTCACTTCGTGCCAAGATGGTGGGGATGCCTCGAGCGGTGTGCCCGTGCACAGCATCCTCCGCTGTCGGAGCAGTTTTTGAGGATGCCTCGAGCGAGGCGCTGGGTTTCACACCCCAGGGGGGCGGGATGTTGAGAATGTCTCGAGCGGTTTGCTTGTTTCTTGGTGGCCATGTTCGTCTGCGTTCAGAGAAGATTATGTGGATGTCTCGGGTGAGGCGTTCGTTTCAACACCACAAGGACCCAGAGTGCGAGAATGTCTCAGATTCACTGATGCTCAAACTCACTCGTGCTCGGACTCACTCATACTCCGACTAGTACTTATCATGTTCATGCTCACACTCAGGCTCACTCACACTTAGACCCACCCACCCTCAGACTCACTCGTCGTCATACTCATTTGTATTCATACCCACTGAGGCTCAGACTCCGACTCACCATACTCATACTCAGACTCACCAGGCTTACACACACACACACACACACACACACACACACGCATAATCACTCACACTCAGACCCACCCATTCACTCGTAGTCAGGCTCGCTCGTACTCAGACCCATTCAGGCTCAGACTCGTACTCATTAGACTCACACTCAGACCCACTCACACCCAGACTTACCCACACTCAGACCACTCTCACTCTGACTCGCTCGTACTCTGACTGACGCATCCTTAGACCCACTCGTACTCAGACTCTCTCATACCCAGACTAAGTGACACTCACACTCAACCATACGAAACCCCGTTTATACATCAAGCCCTTTTATATCCGACAACCCTTGCGCGACTAGACACTCACGGCGGACGGGTCCATGCAAATATATGCACATAGGGGGAGATCCACGCAGTGAAATTATTATCGGAACGCCTCCACCTCCCACTCACCCGCCCCTTGTTCTCATATCCTAAGATGGACTTTTAATCATACTCAGACTTACTCACCTCCCATCTCTCCTCCTTGCCTCCTCCGCATCACCTCTCCTCTCCTGCTCGTCTCTCCTCTCCGTCAAGTTGTCATCGCACTGAGGGCAATCATATTCAGACTCACTCACACTAAGACTCACTCATGCTGATACCTACTCGTACTAAGGCTCGCTCACTTTCAGACTCACTCGCACTCAGACTCCCTCATCCCTCATGCTCGTACCTGCTCATGCACAGTCTCGCTGCCACGCAGACTCAATAACACTCAGACTCACTCACACTCATACTCCTGCTCATTCACACTACGACGCACTCACACAGTGACCCACTCACGCGCATGCCCAACGCCACTTAGGCTCAGCCGCGCTCGGACTCACTCATTCTCATCCCCAAATCGGGCGGTCAGTTGATGTCGGCGCCTCAGATTTCTCCTTATTGGTGGTCCAATGTTCAAAGCGATATAGCAGGCGTAGCATTGGGGCACCCTGAGGGGGGAGCCGCCCAGGGGTATCTCACTCCCCCGTTCGCGGCCAGACTGTGGGGATGTCTCAGGCGGTATGCTGGTTTCGGTGCCTCAGAGTTCTCTGTTGGTGGTCCAATGCCCACCGCGATATATAGCAGGCGTCGCCATTGGGCATCCCAAGGGAAGCCGCCGGGGGGTATCTCACCCCTCCGTTCGCGGCCAGACTGTGGAGATGTTTCAGGCGGTCTCCTGGCTTCGGCGCCTCAGAGGTCGCGCTGTTGGTGATCCAATGCTCACCGCGATACAACAGGCGTAGCATTAGGACACCCCAAAGGAGATCTGCCAGGGGGCATCGCACTCCCTCGTTCGCGGTCGGACTCTGAGGATGTCTTAGGCGGCGCAGGGCCTCGTCTGGGAGCAGCGGGCTACGATCGTCGATTTCGTTGTTGGCGATGACCATCAGCAGGGTTACGACAACACGGGGTTGGGCGGTATCTTCAGGCCGCAGCGTGCGCCGACGGGGATTTGGTTAGAAGTGGACGACGTCACGCATGCCCCCACCAGGGAGAGTCTCGCGCCTCACGTCGGCGTCCAGGAAGCAGCGGCTGCCGACAAGGCTAAGATTCCCCGCGGCCTCTTCAGCATGTCTCTCATGGAGACAGCCTTCACGTGGGAAACTTTCTCCGTGGCGCACAGCGTGACCCGCTTCGGCTTCATGCTGTCGCACGCCCATCACCTGACGACGACGGCTTGCGGGGGAAAACAAGTCGCGCCGCGCTGACCACCGACTGTGCGCGCCAGGAGCCCCAGGGCCAACGCGGCACTGACGACGACGCATGGTGGCTGAACCTCTACGAGATGTTGTCCCGCGCTAGCCAGATGGCCGACGGGCTGGCGGCGCGGCCGCCCCCTTTATCGAGCTCCTTCAGACGGGTCCGCCGAAACCGGTGAAGGCGGCCCACCGCCGCTTCGAACGCAGGGAGAAGGCGACGGTCGCAGCGGCGGCAGTTGTATTTGCCTGGCGCTTCAGGATCACGTGGCCGTCGGAGTAGCGGCCCGCGCGTGCCGTTGCCGTGGCCCGGTACCAAGAGCGGGCGCTCTTCTTGGAGCTTGCTCGGGAGAGCAGTCGTTTTTTAGTTCTGTTTGTGTGTGTGTGTGTGTGTGTGTGTGTGTGCGTGCGTGTGTGTGTGTGCGTGTGCGTTTTTTTTTTTGTGTGTGTGTGTGTGTGTATGTGTGTGTGTGTGTGTGTGCGTGCGTGTGTGTGTGTGTGTGTGTGTGTGTGTGTGTGTGTGTGTGTGTGTGTGTGCGCGCGCGCGCGCGTGTGTGTGTGTGTGTTTGTGTGTATGTGTGTGTGTTTGTTTTGTTGGTCTTCACCTGACAGGTCGGGGTCGTTAGGTTTTAAGAACAGACCTCGTGGCCCGAGCACCGTGCGTGCCGCGGCCGCCAGATCCCCACGTCCACCGAGTATTCCACGACACGCCCGCCTCGCGCCGACCTGGCCAGCCGCGGCCGCCGGCTCCACAGGTTCACCGAGTATCCCCCGAGACGCCTGCCTCGTTCCGACGACGAACACGACAGAACCTGACATATTTTTTTGCATCACATTACATGATCGAGCAATTCATAACATTACATCGCGTGGCGTAGCGGAGAAGAGCCGAACGCAGACTCACGCAACATAGTTTATTCTATCAATATAGTAGCAACGCAACGCGTGCTCCAATATCGCGGGCCATGCAACGCGCAATATGACAGAACACTTCGGAGCAACACATACCATGCCCACGCGTGGGATCACGAAATGAAGCATACACAACGCAATCAAGCACACAATATCCCAACATATCAGGACATCGCATATCATAGCATATCATATCATACCAGGGCAACGCATACCATAACGCATACACCAACACATGACACGCCATGCCAACACATACAATGTCATACGGCGGCATAACATGCTAATACATCGCAAATCGCAACATAACATATCGACACAACGCATATATCATATCAGAACATGTCGGAACATACCATGTCGAACCACAGTGTGACGACGCATACGATCACAGAGTCGATCATCCCACCCATGCCAGAAACATACTCATCATAACACAGCGTCGTTGGTCATCACGATTCACGGTCTACCGTTACAGAGCAACGACGGATATACTTCAACGGAACATGGCATAACGTACCATGGCAAAACAACACATAACGTACCACAGCGTTGTAGGTTACATCGTTCATATCAGTGCAACTGCTAGGCAATCCCATATCGCAGCACAACACAACACCGCATATAATAACGTAACATGCCATGGTGGAACCTATCATTCCATAGCGCAGCATCGATGTTATTTTACAAAACACTGCAGCGACTGCAACGCATGTGTTGCAACATCATACTGTTTGTTTGGCACAGGAATATTTCGACAGACCAGGCCGTATCATATCATACGGAAAGTAGCACAGCCACTGTATTTGCCACCGCA